TTATTTACATATAAGGTCATTTCATGACTATTAGTGTCTAAATATTGGTGTAAAAAGAACCTAAACGTCAGTGTTTAGCATATTTGGCACCCTCTATCATCAATGCAAAGAGTAAAGCATATATTTAAGGCACAAAAAGTAATCATTTACGCGTGTGCGAGGCTGGCAAGGTCCCCAAAAGTAGATAGCTGTCGAGGTTTGATGCTATCGGTCTGCTATCTCAAAGATAACAAAACGATCTGGTTTCAAACTGTCCAAGTTCGGTTCCAAAAGCAAGCCGACAGCTAGAGATGAATGTCAGCTAAATAGGATGCTATTTTCAATTGATTTGCCAATTTCTAACGTTCCATAGTCTGAACTGTTCCTTGCGTAACTTTCTCGATCCACAACATTCTGGAAAATCCACCAGGACGAAACTAATTCCGGAACTAAGCAGTTTATTCCTGGCTAGAGACCATCAAATTTGGTCTGTTGGTCAATGGAATCAGGTCATTATAATTGACGAAGGAAAATCTTGTATTTCCCTCGTTGATCGTGAACGTCGCATCCGAAAGATATTACTCGCAAGATACAATGCCAAATTCGTATAAAAAGCTCTAATATTCTCTTGGTCTTTAAGGGCTTGTGCTTCTGTATTTCACACCAGTTGCACAAAGATATGTTTCTAAAAACAGGTCGGTGTGGGTCCAATTCAAGTTGTAATATTGATTTATTCATTTTTTTACAAGCAATTGTGGCACTAGGCCAAAGGGGAAGTGGTCAGAGGCTGGTCAACATGGACTACCCTAGACCTAGCTAATCAGATTCATGACCTATTCATCCATTAGAATTTATTCAATTACCACAAGTATTCAGCTGTTACCATTCAATCCGACATATACCACATATTCACAGGAACCAACAAAAACACTATGACATAAAATGACCTTTCAATTTTCTTACAAATATATATATATATATATATATATATATATATATATATATATATATATATATATAAAATTAATGCATGAAATCGGAGGTGATGGATGAACGCGAAAAACAAAACTAAAATATAACATTCAAACTAAAACAAAATTCTAAATATATAGGCAGAAATACACAAATGCATGCTTAGATTTCTTCCAAGCCGTTTGGCGATTTCATCTCACTTAGTCCAGGTTTGTCTTGTCTTGAAGTCGAAACCCTACATTTGCTTTTCCGAATTTGCTCGTGTGCGTCACCCGTAATTCTTAGTTTATGAACTTTTTTGCCAAATAATGTTGCTTCGCTTTACCAATAGTTTTTGCTTACTTTATATTATTTTTGCCCTTTCCTTTTATTATTGTTGTCATTGTTCATTGCAAAGTTAGTCAATTCTGTATGTTGGGCAGTTTTGTAATTTATTTCTATTCAACCATGACCACTCACTCTACAGTCTTTCAGGAGCTTCTAGATCATTTTCTTATCCCATATATTCAAAACAAGTTTACATCCAGTTGATTTGTCTACCAGCATGACCTTACCCCAGTATACACATATAAATATACTAAATAATGGCTTTGGGACGCTAAGCCAGTTTTAGTTGATTGGGGTGTAGATAATCCAGGTGTAAAATAATTAGAAATCTTTTGGAGAATCATCAGGAAGAAACAATGAAATTGCTATCCATCTTGAAGAATGAATGCAAGTTATTACAGAAAACCGAAACTGAAAGATTGCTAATCAGTTCCTTACCGCAAAGAACCAAAAGAACAATTAACAATATTGGTTCTACATAAATGAATTTATTTAATAAGAGATTCTTCAAAATTGTATTCATTATTAAATATTAAGTCTTGATCAGTCGGGATCAAAGTTTTTACGATTATATTTTCTGAATTGTTTTGAACCTGTACATGCATATATATTTACGCTGTTTTGATTTTCTACCAGTACTCACTTGACCTTTTTTTTTCCTTTTCAGGTAAGAACAACACCTTTTCATTTGCTTCGAACTGATAGATGACTTGGTCATTTTGAACTGGTCACAAGAAAATGATTTGACACGGACAAGCATAAATATCCAAGTATTGTTAACAATTTTGAACTTTGCAATCTCGTTTTCTATTTCCAATTCAATATATTGTTTGAAAAATAATGTCCGATTATTGAATCGACTACTTTTATTCCTGAATGAATGCTTTTAAAAGATGTTTGAATAGTTCAAAATATAAACCCCGAACATTTATATAAGTGCGTAAAATTTGTAAAATTATACTTTCTTCTTGTTATCAATTCCCGTAATCAGTTTCCATATGTCAAACAATCCGCTGACTGCAATTGTCTTTAGTTAGCTGTAGAAGGTTTCTTTCTGTCGGTTGCCTCGTTATGAACTTTTTAAGATCTACACTGACAGCGAATTTTACATAAGTAAGAAAAAAGACTCTCACAAGAATCTATCCAACTTCGAGATCTGTTCTGAACGTGTGATCCGTAAAACCGTCATTGTTCCTTTAGGGATAGTTTTCATGCGAGACACGTCCGGATCCGTTTTCGTCCTGGAGTAAGTCATTTTATCTATTGCTACACTGGCTGCTGCAAAAAATGCATGCAACCCTGGGCCTCTTCTCCTCCTGCGACAGTAAACTTCTGTCGTCGAGTTACAAGATTATTTATGTCTGTACGATACAACTGTAAGGTTATGGACGCCATGAAATCATTGAAGGCAGTTTCCGCATCTTTGAAACAGATTTCTTTGTCATAAAAGAGTCAATATGCTTGAAGAAGATGTGGTCAGTCGGTGAGAGATCAGAAAATATGTTGGATGTCCCAAAATCTCATTCCTGATGTCGGTGAACTTCTGCTGTGTCAACCTGGTAACATTTGGCCGAGTATTGTCATAAAGCAGAATTGAACCTCGTCGATTGACCAGTGCCGGTCGCATTTTGCTTACCTGAATGTAAATTTCTTCCAGTTGCTACAGTAAACACCGGCAGTGATGCACTGGTTAGATTCCAAAAATCTCTAAAAGAAAAATCCATTGGCAGAAGACTATATTTTCGCTGTTTGGAAAGTGTTTGAGTGCATCAAGCTATTGAGCCGATCGTTCATAAAGGAAGCATTTCTTATCACAATTTACTATTCGAAATTCGCAAGTACAGCATGGAACACACTTAAAAAATGTCAAACTCTTTGACAATCTCTGTGTTCATGTGGAACCCTTGCCGATTTCCTTGAAATGGTTCTGTTTAAATACTGGCATATATTATCTGAGACATTTCTCTGGCACATCGATATAGGTTTTTTTTTTTGGGACTATGCTGATTCTCAATTGCAGATACATGTTCCCTCTCACCTTGACCTTCAAACTCATATCCCCACAGCAGAACTTTAGAAATAAGCGCCGTACCGTCCAATGTCAAGTGGATCCACCACTTCATGCAATTGTTAATATCGGTGACAGTTTGAAAAGCATTATGATTAAGTATGAACTCATGCAAAAAAAAATAAAAGCATCTCTTTCTTCTTCGTGTTCAATAGTATATAATGTTTTAAGTTAATTTCTGAAAGGGATTGATATAAAATGACTTTTGTCATTAAGAATGTACAATATTTTCCAGACTTTTATAATATATTAGAACTCATAATATTCATTCTAAATTCGGACATGATTTTCCGAAGAACCTCATGTTTGAAATTTATATTTGTAAACGTTTGTAAATAACAGAAATGGTGACGTGCGACTTCGTACAATGGTTTCTCCTCACCCATCGTCCCGTTTTCTGCGGTCTCAGGTCAACTCCAGCAAGAAAACAAATTTTAAATTTTTACTTCTTTATAGTCTTCTATTCGAACGCTATGTTATTATCAAATGATTTATGTGAAAGAGAATTCATTTAGTAATTCCTAACTTTTTTTCAATCCATACAACTCACCTGAAGCTAAATAGTTAAATATCTAAAAAGAAAAATGTTGTATTGCTCCGGAAAATTGCAAACTTCTCTTTGCAAACTCAACAGAATTCCAAAGCATTTACGCATACCTCTAAGTGATGAATGATTCTCCATTCTACAACCCTTTTCCCCCACAGAAAAACAAACACCGTTAGCTATTCCCCATTCTATCGCTCTCCGAATGTAAATCTTCTGTCTCCATTCCCTAGTTACGCCAGTTCAAACCTCTACACACCATACCACCTACAACGTGTTGAATCATCCTCATTTAATTTCTACACCACTGAAGAGGAGGAGGTTTCATTTGGATGGCTTTTCCTCGAGAACTACTTCTTTGTTGGAACTGGCTCTAGAGGGAGCACTTCTCCGATCACTAAACTATTTCAAGTCTTGGGTCAAGTGTTAACAATTCTGCATACGCTATAATTTACAATTCATAAAACAACGACATTCAGCAATCTTCTGTTTTGTTTTTTTTTGTTTTGTTTTGTTTGTTTTGTTTTTGGTTATTTTTTTTTTAGAAAATGTGATATTACGAAAATAAAAAAAATAATCATATACAGAGGTTAAGATGGATGGTAATCAAAGGGTTCTATCGCTGCCCCGATATAGCAGAGAATGCTGGAGATTGTTGTCACAGATGAAGAGAATAATTAAAGCACCAGAGATTTGGTCCTTTTAAATGATACTGAGAATATCATAGACGGAACATATAACCAACGAGAACGTTTTAGAGAAAATGAGAAAAACACTTTTACTTGGAAATAGTCACTTGAAATAGAAACAGGGACATACAATGAGGAAAGAGGACTTGGAGAATTTAACAATCAAAGTACATATTCGAAACAAGAATGGCAGGAAGAATCAACAAGTCAGTTACCTAACCAGCTTTGGTAATGAATGGCAGAACGGGAACAGATAAATATAATGGAGACACTAACATTGCTTAAAGCTACAAATGATAGGAAGTTATGGAGAAACATAATCACACACATCATGATAGAGCAAACCCCGTAAAAAAAGCTGTTACATTATTGTTATTACAGTATATTGCTGTATTTCTTCTGTTTTGTTATATATATTAGCTTATGGCCATATCACGTTGAAACACCAGCCCTCGTAGGATCAACGAAGTTAGGCGTTGTCGAGTTTGGTCCGTACCGAAATGGGTGATCTCTTGAGAATACCAGGGGCTGTAAGCTTACACATCCGCCTGGTTTAATGGATAATGAGTGTGAATTCTTAAACGATGAGCTGAGTTCGAATTCCAGTCGGGTTCATTAAATTCAATAACGTGCAAATATTCTTTGTAAAACCGCTTCGTCTCTCAGCTAAGGGGTTAATTAATAGCTCTAGTAAATCCTCATTATCTTTAAAAAATCTTAGAATTTAAGAATATTTTATAGCATTAAATAACCTGTAAAAATGACCTCATCAATCAGTTATTATTATAAGCTCTTATTAGAATTTCTTACTATGCTTAATTTATAAAATACAGTATTGCGAAACCATAGAATAAACCCAATTATCTATGCCTGAATATTTATAACGAGGCATTAACTTTATTATTATTATTATTATCTGTTTTTTTATTCAGAAATGCAACCTCATTTTGACCGTTATCTTCACAAAGTTTAGGTCGTTGTACTGCCTTTTTCATAGATCTCTCATCGTGCTGGAACTGGACACTTTATTCAACCTATATGAGTAGACACTTCTCATTCTGCTTTCCATGTTTTTGGAATTTCTTCTTTAAGTCAATGTTCACGTATGCGACACTTGTCCGTTTCTCCCACTACAAACAGGCCGATACTATGATAGATATGATTGTTTTTTATAGCCCTTCATTTGCATCCATATTTTCCTTTAGGCCTCGATTTTCGTCCATGTTTTCCTTTAGCCCTTCATTTTTGTCTGTATTGCTTTAAATATTGTATAGACTAGAACAAACTAAAACTATAACCCGAAATTTATTATATATTTATATAATATAAAATGTTGTCTTTTGGTGCGATGTGTATAATTATTCGATACACACAAAGTAGTCAAAACAAGGATTATAACTTTTAAAAAAATGCTGAAATCCTTTACACCAACTCATATTAAGAACAATATGAAGTATATTATCTTTTGGAAGATTTTTACAATGCGAATTTCCTCCTCAAAATATATCTTGTTCCGAGATTAAGTTTTAGTATCATTTTTTTATGATTAATTTGAAATCAGAAACCTTAAAATCGGAAACAAACAACCAGAAAAATATGCCGCGAACTGACTGACTTTTTTTTGTTGTTTTTCTTAAACAGCTCTTCGAAATATAACAAGACTTTATTTTAAAAATATTATAAAATGGACAGTTTTTTTTTTTTTTGCTCTTATTGTCAAAGGCCAAAATTACATTATTTTATATACTCCATAATCGTTTTTACCTTTGGGAGATTGTTCGATGAAAACAGGAGATTGCCAGACGATATCGTCACGTGAACTACTACTTTCCTTATATTCTGATTGGACAATGCGTCTTTTAATTGTTATGGTTGGCTTTCACAGAAATCGATATTCCCCAACAGAAATACTTGGAAGTAATTATATTGGCAAAGTAATTATATTGTTTTTAATATTTTGATGTATGTTGGTGTCATTCTAATATTTTTCTTTTTGTACAAATCACATCATGATCAATAATTACATGAGATAATAGTTACTTTTTAAAGTTGCTTTTCAAAATATAAACATACATATATTAATTTTATTGTCAGTGCCTACATACTTATCTGCTAAATATGTGACTGCATCTCGTGTACAAATATTTATTAGATTTACCAATGTACTTACTTTCTTTGGCTAAATAAGATTAAAGCCTATGTCTATTGAATATTACAATGTGTTTGCAGATTATAGGACATTGGGGAACTGCTTCAGACATAGCTTTATCGATGGAGTCAGATTTATGTGTGGAGAGAAAAGAAAAAACAAACGCCGGTTAAGATTTTACATCTATGTCGGACATTTTTGCATTTCTTTCCTGTACGAATAATATATATTGTTAAGTATAACAAGCAATGAATGTCTATTATGATTGATTATTGCTTTAATTTCGGATGAAAAGGAGGACAAAACTTGAATCATAAATTTACGATCAGCATCTGTAGTTCCGCTACCTTTATCGTCGCATGAGAATCTTCTATGTCGACATAACAGAATATCATCTTTAGTGGTGAATATCTTTGTTTAACGCCGAAGTAGCTAAGCACCTTACATCCCATGATCTGCTCTCTGACAAGCAATATGGTTTCCGCTTTGCCCGTTCTACAGCTGATGTTCTTACGGCCATAACTAAAATTGTTTACCAAGCTCTTCATAATAACGGAGAAGCTCGTTCCGTGGCTTTAGATATCTCCAAAGCGCTTGATAGGGTTTGGCATTCCGGCCTTCTTCGCAAGCTTCAGGGTTATGGGATTTCAGGTCGATTGTTTGACTTAATACAATCATTCCTGTCAAACCGTGTATTAAAGGTCGTTCTCAATGGATTTTCCTCCAGCTCCTATCCCACGAACGCAGATTTTCCCCAAAGCTCTAGACCCTACTCTATTCCTTATCTTCATTAACGATCTTCCTGATGTTATAGGTTCCCAAGTAGGCATCTACGCGGACGACACTACAAACTACTCTTGGCTCAAAAAGCAAATCTTGTGTCGCTGACAAAACTAACCTGGTCGTTTGTCTCGAAAAGGACCTCCAATCGGTTGTGGACTGTGGCAGGAATTGGCTGGTTAAATTTAATGCCTCAAAAACAAAACTTCTCTCTATTACTCTCCACAGAGAACCATCCCTGCCCCCTCCATTAGAATGTCTGACGATCAACCCCCTGAGAGCAGCCCTTTGCGACTGGTCGGTTTCACATTGACTGCTGAGATGCAACAAATACATTGAGTCAATAGTTTTGTCCTCCACAAGGAAAGTTGGCTCCCTGTGCCGCGCCAGGAAATTTTTCTCGTTGGAGGCGATCGTTCAAATCTACAAATCAACCATTCGCCCTTGCATGGAGTATTGCTGCCATATATGATCTGGAGACCCTTGTGTTTATCTCAAGGTCTTTGATAAAATCCAGAGACGTATATGCATTGTAATTGGCCCTGAAATGTCATCTCGTCTGCAGTCGCTCTCTCACAGACGTGCCGGATCCTCACTCTGTCTTTTTTACAAATAACTTCACGGTAACTGCTCCGATGAGATGCTTTCGCTTGTTCGCAGACTTCATGAATTTAAGTGTTCTACTAGGCTGGCATCTCGCTCTCATCCTTTCACTGTCGAAACTGTTAAATGTAGCCGTCCCTGCTATTCCAATACCTTCATGTCTCGCACTTCTCGCCTGTGGAACTCTTCCTCTTTTCTTGTTTCCCTGATAGCTCTAATCTCCAACTATTTAAATGAAATATAAATCAACGTCTCCAGATACCTTGATCTATCCCTTATCCTTCTTTTAATCCTTTCCTCCATCACTCCTCTTTGTTCTCGCTCCAAATCTCTGTAAGCCCTTACGTGCTAGTGGCTTCCCGCCTTCCTTGCGGTTGAAGGCTTAAAAAAAATGTCCGTATAACCACTCTGAAAATGGTTCATGTTAGCCGAACACTTAAATTAAGGAAAAGCTTAAAAAATATCCAAATGTTATACAGTTGTGTTTATTTTCACCCGAAATTAATGCAAATATACGAAGTTTAAAATGGCTCATGATCAAACATAATAGATATTCATTCCCTGTTATATTTAACAACATATGTTTAAATAATGTTCTGTTTTCCCCAATACACTCTCTCTCTCTTTATATATATATATAAAAATGTGAACACTTGAGAAATTATATAAAAAACTCAACTACTGCACTTTTTCAGTCGTTTTCAACGATACTTGCGCGTGCACAGACACACACACACACACACATATATATATATATATATATATATATATATATATATATATATAATAAAAAATCGAAATTTACCTCATATGGGAAATAGCCTATTTTCGTCTGCTAAAATAGGCTATTTCCCATATGTGGTGATTTTAGATCTTATTATTTATTAATTATTTCCTCTGTAATAATAAATACATTGAGCTCTTTTTTGTGTACCATTTTTAATATTTTACATTACTAGGATCCACTTGGATTATATATCAACGGCTCAAAAACTGACAGAAAAAAAAGATTCTGTATTAGGAAGTTTTTGGGTTTTTTTTTTTTCGTAACGCATCTCAATTTTTCTGTCAATAATTTCACTGTCTAATATTATAAAAAATTAAAACACCTGTACCCACTTAAAATAACTTCAGAGTAATAAAAAATAAGACCGGATAAAAAAATCCTTTTTATACGTGTGTGTGTATATATATATATATATATATATATATATATATATATATATATATATATATATATATGCGAGAAGGATAGGTGGTCAATACGTTATGTCATCTGTGCACACCTGTATAAAATTGAAGAGCCAAGTTAGAAACGAATCAGTGTCTCGTCTTAATTTCCTTGTTAACTGATTTATATCCCTTGTCTTTTACAGTCAGTTGGCGTAAATAAATTACTTCCAATGATTTTCTAATTAAGTGCTTTTTAAAGTCTCCAGTATATCATTAGAATCTACTTGATAGATCCTAGACCGCCTTGTGCTAAATAATTCGGAAACATTATATTATATGAATTGCTTCTCGAATTAGTCAGTTGATGATGAATCTTTTATCACAGCCGCTCTTTTTTTTATCGGATGTCTTTTTTTTTCTTTAGTTACGACCACGATATCGCTTAAGTTTATTCTCTCTTAATATCTTTGATTGCAGATCTCTTAATTTCTAACGATTTGGAATTTATGATGTTCTATTTTTATACTGCGCTTTTTTATATTGATAAAATCATATTTCTCTCTTCACCGTGACTGGCCTTTAGAGAAACCAAAACCCGTTTATCTAGCGCGTTGACGGTCATTTCATCATGACCCAACTGGACGATACAATCCAAGAAACACACTGATTATTTATCAGTTCTCTTGATACTTACGTTTACTATCATCTAATTACCGACTGTTGTTTCCATCATCTGTATTGTTAGGATTTTTATTCGCTTCTAACGCACCTTTCTCTGATAATCCATTATTATTATTATACAGGGAGACATACTAGAAATATTCATAAAA